CAAAATTAGTCATTCCTGACACCTGATCTACAGTTTAGTCATCCCAAACCTTCAGCAATTCCACAAGTACCATACCCATATCCAACACATAAGAGACAGCTGAGAGAGCTTTCTCTGTACCTGGAACAGCTCCAATGCCTCCAAATACACCTGAAGTGCCATCCATAGCACTAGCGTCACATTCTACACGACCATCTTCTGTAAGATTGGAGCCTCTACCAGCATTCGTGCTCGGATCATCCTACACTAAGTTCAGAGAGAGATTTTAAAAAGCCAGGAAGAATTGGATATGATGGAGCCCATAGGAGACGCCTGAAGGCAATAAATGGAAAAGCCCTACAATTTCTTCTTCCATTTGTCACTGCTAACAATGACGCAATGAGGAAAAAAGATGCGAAAAATACCTCCAGGACTTCAATGGCGGCCGAAACAGCATCTATGCACCCACCAGAGACCTAAGTTCAACAGACAAAGCAAGGAGCTTAGGATCAGCTACGACCTTATATGCCATTTTGACTTCCAAAAACTCTTCAGTTCCAAGAACATCATTGCTTAAATTTCTCTTCAGCGGATTCAGGGTTTCCATTGAAGCAGACAGAGGATGCAGAGAAGAAATAGGACCTGGCGAAGAATGGAGGAAGCGGCGAGGCAAGCTCGTCTCATGGCGGATCTAAGAGCTTTCTCGTTTGCCTGCGCGTGGTACCCAGCGCCGACGTGAACAGCCACGAAGAACCGTCTTCCTTCATGTCCTCCGCCTCCTCCCTCCTCGCCGACCATCGTTTCAGGCTTGTGGGAGACTACCAAAGTTTCGTCCAAGGTTTGACACTTTTTCCACTTATCAATTATCATAACAGGAAATAGGAAAACTACCTGGAAAAGTAACTCCCATCCCAAAATTACGGACACGAACACCGTGCCGTTTCTAGACACAAGATATTAAAACTACATGCAGCTGCTCCAAGTGTAGGTCCGAACACCGTGCTGTTTCAATTTTGTGTGGCGAAAGGCAATTTTGCCATTGTGCCAAGAATATGATACTTGGGCCATTTGGTCTTCCCAAAGAGTACCGATGACCAAAGGCCCATTACATTTCCTTCTAGGACCAAATACTGATGCCCGCAGTTTCAAACTTTTAATTAGAAAGTACAAATACGTAAATGCCCTCCGTTGCCTGAGTAAAAGTCAACCAACAAAAAACCAGCGGATTCACTCTTTCGAACGTAGTAGTCTCATCTTGTTCGTCTTCTTCCGTTCTCCGATCCTCTGGAATTCGCTCAGGTAAGCCGATATCCGGCCACCGTACGCCGGAGATTTCATCTACTGTTAGTTAATTCGGAGTGTGTGCGCGCGAATTGTGGATTTGATGTCTGCTCGCGTTTGTCGTAACTCGATATAATTAGTGAGCTAGGGTTTTCTTTGGCTGCCGTTGTTTTCTGTTACTGAACGATCCGGTCTTCATCATACTGAGTTAGGAAGAAACGGTGTTTGTTGGACTGATCGATCCGATTGAAGTACCATGGGAGGGGCTGGCCATGGACATGGAGGAGAAGGCGCTCATGGCGATTTCAGGAGCAAAGTCTGGAGCATGCCCGGTGGGGCTTACTGTAGGCCCAAGCATTGGCGTCGCAACACCGCCATTGCTATGTTTGGCGTCTTCCTCGTCTGCATCCCTATCGCCATGAAGTCTGCTCAGCTCGAGGTATGATGCATTTTCTAGGTTTTTTTGTCGATTATATGTTTGGGAACCCTGGAAGAAGAAATGTTGGATAAGGGCATTAATCTATTAGGACGAACTTAGTATTCTTTTAGTCTATATCTGCCATTTAATGTCTCGTTAGTAATTTTTACGAAAGTCCATAGTTGGCGGATGGAATCAGGTTCATTTCGTCATTTTAGTTCAACGTTTAGTGAGCCTGATCTAACCTTATTTTGTTCATTCTGTTAGATAAAATTCTATAAGGTGTCTAATGTTTCAAATTCAGGTTAAGTTCTGATGCAATTTCGAAATTTGATATCGCCAAATCATAAATTCCTCATAATATGTGATTTGCCGGATGAATTGTTATTTTAACTTGTAGTTGAAGACAAAGTGATGTGTAGGTCCTTGATAATTTCTGTCAAAGGAGGAAAAGAACATTGTTTTTGTATCTAGCATACATCATAGAACGGCATTTTAATGTTCTATGCAAAATTAACCATTGATATTGATGTCATATGGATAAGTGTGTTTGAAGAGTACAAACTGAAGACCTTGTATTTGGTGATTGTGGAGAAAGGTTTTGCTTGGGCGGATCTTTGCTATTCCAGGAATTTCTTTTATATATACATCTTTTTGTTTTTCTTATCATCACAAATCAACCCATTTCCTAACCATATGTCCTTTTATGAATGATTGATCCTTGACCAGGACTGTAAATTTTATATCCCATCAAACCAGAACTTCCCTGACAAAATTAGTTTGATGAACTAGCGGTATTGCAATGTACTTGTCATGTATCCTTCTGTTCTGATTTCTGTGTAATTCTTTGATTCTTTAGAGGCCTTTTGCTCTATTTTGCATCACTGTATCGCTTCTTGTGTTAGTTTCTCTTCTTCTAACCTAAAATGGTGTTCGCGTTAGAGTTATTGGGTTATAGCATAGTAGCGTGGTGTGGGGGGGGGGTCAGACATTGTAACTTCCCTGGGATAGTTTATTGATTGTTTTTTTTTCTGGCTTGCAGCCTTGCACAGTTTTTTTTTTCTATCTGCAATCTCGTTAAGAAGAATCCAGTTGAAGCATTGAGCTTTTAAAGTGCTTGAAATTAAACGCTAAGAAGTATCCAGTTGAAGCATTGTGGTCTAATTGTGGCATTTGGAGTGAAGTCGGGTGCTTTTCAGTAGTTTACATTTTATTGTTTGATGATCATGATTGAAGAAAACCTTTTATGTTTTTTTATTCCAGCAACGGCCACATATGCCGGTACGCCCAATTCCGTCGCAGCTGTGGTGCAAGAACTTTGGGACAAAGGACGATTACGAGAAGGAGCATTAATAAGCTATCGCTTTGACTGGTTTCTTGAATCTGCAGAAGATGTGAGCAAACACCTTCTGGATCTGTTTGGTTTTGAGTTTTTATTTTTAGAAATATGAAACTCATGGAACACATTCTAATCTGAAGGAATTTATTCTCATTTTCCCTTGCGGGTGGTTATTCAGGGGAGGTCTTACGCTGGGCAGATTTCATCTGGGGGTACGACTGAGCCAAAGTATTTGATTCCGTTCCGTGTGAATGATATATATATATATATATATATATATATGCAGTTGCGGATATATTGTTGTGGAGAGAGTCGAAGATATCGGGGGCTCTATTAGTAGGGGTCGGCCTCATCTGGTTCCTGTTCGAAGTGGTCGTGTACAATTTCATTGCCCTAATTTGTCACCTTTCCATCACGGCAATGCTCCTTCTCTTCATTTGGTGCACCGGCTCACTGTAGT